ACAAGACATGGGAAATTCTTAGATAATAAAATATTGTAGTTCATAGAACAGTGCTCCAACTAGCTAATATGGGGTTGCCTTCCTCATATTGTGGAATTTAAAATTTCACTCATTTAAGGAAATCTTTCTTAAACTTGAGATTGGGCTTTGAGAGGACTTCTTCTAAAGTAAACAGTGTGATCTGCAGAGAGCTTTCACAGAACTACTTTTAAACAGTTGCCATTATTTCTGCAGTGTCTTTGGAAATGTAATTGGACAGATGGATGTGCTGGATTGGCACTGTAAGTGTCTTTGCGCTGAGAATAGTATCAATAGCTATTAATAACTTTGAAAGTCTGTTCAGATAAATTAGTGAGTAGCGACCTTATAGCTAAGGAATACATAGTAAAAGTAAAAATAAAGACTATCTAAGTTTTGATTTTTGAATCTAACATGAATGCAGGGAATCTCAAAAATCACGTATTTTAGTAATGTAATATTTTCCCCTAAAACGAGTATTAAAAGCAGAGGTAGTCACCATTGTACTGTTTCAGGATTTCTTTTGGCGAATGTCAGAATGACTGTGCTATGCATTTGTTTGCTTATTTTTAAAGTTTGAACTTCTAGAGGAAAGGAAAAAAAAATTGATCATAGGCTAAGTAGTATGCAGGAAATTGAACCATCTAAAATCCTTTCTGTTGAAAAGGAAATTCTAAACCACATTTAACAGCAGTGTTTGTGTATTGAAACAATTACATTATGTTTCACAGAAGTTCCTTGCGATTTTAATACTAACCATCACTGCGACCTTACATATTGAAATACATCTTCATTTGACATCTATATTTCAGTATAGGTTAATTATGTTCTCTTTGGACATTATCAGGCAGGATATTCAGTGCTTTTCACTGGTCCTGCTCTCGTTCTTCCTTTGAAAAAAAGAATCAGAGGATTATGTGTGTATTTCTTGTTCATTTCCCCACGTAAATATTTCCATCCTGCAAAGGTAGGTACCTCAGGGCAATTTCAATCGTTTTTATATATATATATATATATATACACACACATATACATACGTGCATACATAATAAGTTATTGTGTTTCTTGTCCTTGCAAGGTGAAACTTTAAAATATATTTACACTAAATGACAGAAAACCTTGTGTATATAAACATTTCATACTATTTCCTTGCATGACAGTAATTTTCTATCAGGAACAAGTTAGCAGGTGCCCTATTCTACATTGGATTCATGTTTGCTATAAAGTGCAACTCTAAGTGTTTGTTCTAAAACTTTTCCCACCCTACCAAAACAGAACTGTACTACAGGCTGTGCCATCGCAGCAGACATTTTATTTGTGATCAAATTAGAATCTGGGTCTTGGGATTTGAAAGACAAACGCATTAATCCCCTGAAAGATTCAGTCAATCTCTGTCAATTCTAATCAGGTAAAGGCATTGGTCATTTTGCTTCAAAGCAGCTGGAGGGATTTTTTTAAATCAGGGAGCTGGCCTTTTTATTTCAAGCTTATTTCATCTTGCAGGTAAAAATGTCCCTATTACATGTGAAATAGTGAAGGATTTAATACACTCATATGTCCCCTGAAGCTATCAGAGTGCTTTCTAATTTGCAGAATCTTTTGTGGTCATCAGCACCAGCTACTAAGTAGGACACAAAATTCTTCTGGTTTTGCTAAAACAAGGTGGGGATGGAAGGGAGGAAGGTGTTGGAGTAGCTTGCAATGTTTATCACTAAGCAGATGACTTAAGAGAGTGAATTTATCTTGGTTTGAAAGAGAGTATATGAAAAGAAATTTGGAGCAAGGGTCTGCATGTTACTGTGGTTTTTGTGTAGAACATGGACAAGGAGGCTTGCTGGGTAAACTGAAATGAAATTGGTTTTGGAATATCTTCTGTGCAATAAGAATGATTCGTGGAGCTGATTTTAAATGCAACAAGTTACTTTGCATTATTCAGGAGAGGTCTTGTGATAAAAAAGTTCTGGAATGAATAGTAGCATGTTTTCTGATGCCACAGTACTAGTAAAAAATACTCATATGCAGAGTCTCCTAGATGCCTTTAAAATAAATGTAAGGTCATGTTAGTTAGCACAGCGGGAATTAGAATAAAGTTTTTCCTGTAGATACGTTTCTGTTTTGGCCAGGATGTACTCTAGAACTGAATTGCCTACCCTCTCATACAGGCATTTTGTGTTTGAAGTGTAATTAATTGTCCTAGAAGAAGTCAGGCCCCCAAAATAGCAGTCGGATGCCCTGGGCAGTGTGTTATGAGATCTGTATCAGTAATCTATGTTTTTCTTGCAAATACTTAAAGACTTGTCTCTGAGATGTGGCTCCAAAAACCCTTTGTGGAGGGAAAGTACCAGGCTGAAACCATGGTATGGAGGAGTAATGGCAGCTTTTCAGGTGCTCTTATGTTGTTGTCAGAATTAGTGAAATATATCTCTGGGTTTTTTCCAGTGAAGTTCTTCAATTTGTAGTACTTGTGGAAAGGAGGTGAAAGAATTGTTTACAGTGCTGATGAGGTATGAGGCAAAGCCTAGTTACAGCTGGGCTCTAATATAAGTTGTCCGTTTGTTTTTCCTTTCACCCTCTAGTGAATCCTCATTCTTCCATCTTTGTCTTCTGCCATAAAAAGAAATCTGGAATAGGTCATGGTTTCCTATTTCAGCAGTGGGTGGTAACACTCAACTCCTGGGTAAAATTACAATCTATCTTTTCCCTTTTTTACATTTCTTTGTATTGCCACTTCAGCATTTAATATACCATGAAACACTGTGTTATAAAATAGAAGACAGATTCTCTAATGTGTCTTTGCCTCTTTATTCTCTTTATATTGCTTACTGCAAGAAAGCTGGGAAAGCAACTGTGTCTCTTCCTCACCTGCTGTTAACTCTGTGCACACTACAATGAAGTGAGATGTGGATTTGATTGAGACATGACACACGGACTATTCCCAGAGCTGCTTCCTAACTGACACCTTTCTTCTTGCTTCATGATGAGTCTTTGTCTATTAATTTGTATCAGATAGATTATGAGGTTCTTCATTTCTTTTTTTAATAGTGTTATCTTTTATTTTTAAATTCAGATTGGTAGAACAATTGCTAAAATCAAGCAGGAACTAAAGTGTAAGGGATATAACTGTGTAATAATTGGAATGCATCAGTGATTTCTGCTTCAGTAGGTGATATTCTGGCTGGTTCCAGGAACTTAGTGAAAAGTTAAGAGGTAACTGTCTTCTCTCACTTTGTTCGGTTCTGTTTCCACTGCCTGTGTTTCTACAGCCAGTCTTCTCTTTTTTTTTTTTTTTTGCACTCCTCCCTGTCAAAGCACTCTTTGCTTTGTCTTGCCCTTGGCTTCTGTTGGTGGCTGTGGCTGCAACACTGAATCCCATCATTCTGGCAGTGTCAGTCATGCTGGAGGTTTCCATGCAATTAGGATGAATTCTTTCTTCTGGTATTAACAGCTGTAATGGAAGCAGCTAGGCTGGTTTCTCTTTCTTCATTTCCACTTCTTTTTAGACCTCCTGGTATCTTACTTTGAATGTGCAGCTCAGTTATTCTTAAATCATCTGGATATAAGAAGAATTAGTGTTCTGTGTGCTCTCTTTCTGTAGTTCATAATACTTGTTTATGAGAAATAGAGGGTCTCATGAAATCTGCTCCTAAAATGAGGTTCTAATTTATGATCTTAAGGACAACAAAGGAAATGAGAAAGAAGTGTAGGAGAAGTAATGTCAGTGCTGTTCTTTACTTTCCTCATTGCATTAGAGTTCCTCATTTTCAAGATAAGTAGAGTTTTCTAACTTACTGGTTAGTATGCCTGGGATTAGGAATTACTTTTTGATATAGGGATTTTTCTCTGTCTTTGAGTTCTCTAAAAGAAACTTGTCCTCTAAGTAAGCATGTGGGCAACTGCATTTGTGAGTTTGCCCACAAATGACTGAGGGCATGTGTTTTAGATGTCTGAGCTTCCCAAGGAGCCCTGTGATGTGATTTCCATATGAACTATGACTAGCTTAAGCAACTAGAAGGTATTCCAGTTAATATCAGAGCTGTGCAGTATCTGAAGTTCTGATAGTTATGGATTATTTACCTTTTATATCTTGCTACAACTTGAGATTAGCCTGCAGGGCACAGAGGGCACACACGACACATGGGACGACGCGGGCGCTGAGTAAGGAGGTGTCATTGTAGTCTTGCTTCCTTTCTCTAGCAGAGCCATCTTCTAATCCTACATGTCACTGGTTCATCAGGCTAAGAGCGTTTTTTTGATACTGATCCAGAACTTAATACAGCATATTCTGGGCTCTGAAATATGTGTAATGTAACTCTGAATCCCGTGAGTGGCTGAAGCAGACTATAAATAAAACCTTTGTTTCCCATATGGCAGCACAGATTAACGAGAACCATCCCTTTAAACTCTTCTATTTAATTGTTTTTCAGTACCATTGATAGTATTCTGTTTGTAACATGAGACTGACCTACATCAAATAGCCAAAGTTCTTGATTATCATCATAACACCTGTATAAAATTAATAGGAGGGTTTTTAGTGCCTAATTTTAAACTAATAAAAATTACTGGTTTTATCAGTATTTTCCCAAATTTATGTATCTTTCATTTGCAGTGGTGTTGCATATTTGATTATGTTGCCACTGCAGTCACTGTTCATCATAAGCAAACTGGGTTTGGGGGGATTAGTGGGTTGAGTCGTGTTTGTGCTCATGTGATACTGTTTGCTTTACTGTTTTGGATTGTAGAACTGGACAACAGAGCTTAAATAACATAATGAATCTCTGTGTGAGGTAATATGATATAGTGTGTTTTTTAAAAAAAACTATTTTCTTTAACCTTCCTAGAAAGAATGAGTGCATTGTGTTTCTACCAGCTGATGCAGCTATTCCAGGAGAGAATAATATTTAACAAATTCAGTACTTAAAGTGATGATGAAATATATTTTATTCAGACCTTGTTGACTCCTTCTGTTTGCTTCACCCCCTCAGACAAACGTGTTGATGATTGGCCCTTGATGCAGTCTCCATTTCCAACACTGACTATAAGCACTATTTATCTCCTCACTGTCTGGCTGGGCCCCAAATGGATGAAGACGAGAGAGCCCTTCCAGTTACGCTTCCTGTTGGTTGTTTACAACTTTGGAATGGTTCTGCTCAACTTCTTCATTTTCAAAGAGGTGTGTATGCCCTCTTGCAAGAGGGAATTCTTATTGAGGTTTGAGGATGTCTGCAGGTTGCAAAATGAAAATAATTATTTTGCATATTTTTGATGTCTATTGAGAGTGAATGTTTTGCACAGACTTTCAAAGATGGCTTTGTCTTTGTGAGTATTTCTATAGCTAGGTACTGTCTGTTTGAGAATAAATGCAGTAAATGAGTCTATAGAGAGAATTTGTGTACTAGCTATTCCAAGTTCTTCCTAGACTTATGTTAGTCTAAATACTGGACAGAATAAGTAAAATCTATAGAGATTTAACACTTGTAACTGTTTTTTTTTTCTTTTTAATAATCCTAAAGGGTGTTAGAATGCATCTTGTTTGAATTTGAGCTGTTTGTTCTTGCCTTCAATGTGTTTATCATTTTTAAAAATTCAACTGTCCATTACCTGTAGTGAGGAAAACTGTCTTGTCTGTACATTATCTTTTATAATAAGAATAAAAATGAAGTGAACTATATCTCTAAATAAAAATAAAAGGATAGAGTCTTCTACTACTTGGTTTGAAATGTTCAGAATGTGCTAATTCTAATAAATTTCTGCGTTGCTGCATTTTTCCTTTGGATTTCTGTACAGAGGAAATGAGTAGTAACAATGCAATGGACCAACTCTGTAGTAGTAGCTAACTGGGATTACTTAACATTTTGGTAATTATTATTCAAGGATAGCTGTACAGAATATGGTTGATGCTAAGTTAGTTCTGCTATGACTGCTCATGTGGATCAAGAGGCATCTTCCTGGAAGACCTCGGATCATAGTTTTGCAAAATCTGTTTCCAGAAGTAAGCAAATGAACAGAGTAGTTAAAATTACAGCATTCAAGAACTTTCTGGCTGGCCTGTTCTGTACTTTTGCCAAGAAAGCGTGGTATAGCTGATGGTGATATGCATATTGACCCTTTCCCAAAGCTTCTATAATAAGAGCATTTAACTGATTTCAGCTTCTTTTTAAGACATGGTTCAGTAAAATTTTAGCCATTACATCTCAGTCATCATTTTGTCTAAATTGTTTCATTGGACTATTCAACTAAGTAATTAAGTACTACAGCCACAACAGAATTTAATGCTGACACCCAAGGATAGTTGTGGGAAGAGATTAAATCCAATCATCTTGGCAGGTTAAAACTGAAACTCCTCTGAAATGAATTCTGCAGTGTTACTGCCATCCCTGACTTTTAAATTGATTTATTTTATCCATAAGCTGAATTATACCAAACTTATGGTCAAATGGTTTCCAAACCTATGTTGCATATAGGGTAACGTGTTTGTGGCATTTCCAAGTCGCTGAATTAACACAAAAATGAATGGGACTGCAAAGACATTTTTGCTGCTGCTATGCTGAAAGCTCATAGTTTTAGACACAGAGGTTCTAGTTTCCTGCTCTCTCAAATGTAGGTTGTTATTCAGTGAATGTTAAGGCTATGGATACAGCATTTACAGGAAGTGCCTTTTCTTGATCTTAAGAGACTGATAGGAGGAAGCTGTTCAAGTTTCAGTTGATCCCTTTTACGAGGCAACTTCTCCTTCCATCTACATGAGGTTTACAATACCACTGTGCCACTGTTGTAATTCGCATGAGTTTTAATGGAATTGTTATGAGTAAAATGATGCAGTTTGTATTTTGTGAATGACTGTAAAGTTTCCAGACAATGCTAAGAACAGAAATTGAATGTGAAAGGCCTTTAAATGCTACTTAAATAACCATCCTGTTGGCAAGCTGTTTCATTCATCTGTGGTAACTTACATTAAATAGTAAGTCCAGAAAGCACTGTGAGGATGTCTAGTCCAACACTTCCATATGTTGGATTCAAATGCAGGTTCATATTTGGAGACAATTTTGCTCAGAACATGCAGAAGTCCCTGTATGTGGGGATGTATAGACCCTATGTTGCCACAAAATCAGGACTTTCTTATTCTACTTTGAGGCAGTCTGGTGAAGTCAATTTACTGCCTTTTGCTAAGGTAACCTTGGCCAAGTTACCCAGTAGGTTGCAGTAGCGATTGGTTGATTTCTATAACAGTGTGGACTAAACTTTCCTTGTTCTTCCTTAATAGTATCAAATGTCCTCACACCTGTGTGAGACCACACTGGAGAGTAGGGGTGTTACAGCAGTTTGTAAATGGACTTGGAGGATACAGAAGTATGTTTTCTAGGATAATTTCTGTGGACAGTTCTTTCGTTTACTTACGTTAAAAGACATGTGCAGCAAATATGTCCAGAGCTTCACAGGCTTTTGTATACTGGAGTTTTTTTCTGGATAACACTTGTTTCTGCATCTGACTGCACTCCTAGTGCTGTGTGCAAGATGAGACACCAAAGTAAACTCAAGTTCAGTTCAAATAAGATGGAAGTCAGGTTAGTGGTAAGAGTAGTCAGTGCCTACTCATCCTTTTTTTTTGCCATCTTTTTCTCTCACCCTTCTCTACTTTTACAGCTCCCAATTTACAGGTTATGTCTGCTCTGCTGCTGTCTCTCTTTGATCCATAACAGGGTGGAATTACCTGGCTTTAAACAGTCTTGGATCATAACATTTATGAATGTCAAGATTATTTGAATTTTGTACAGCTCTAGACAAGAGTACTTCTTTCCAATGGGAACTTGCTCAAGTGTCAAGTTTATCTTCTCCTGTCCAGGTTTTTGCAATGTTCTTGGTTTGGAGTGGCCCTACAGGAGCACTTAATGTGTTTTAGGCCATTTCTGTTGGCACAAAATGGGGAATTTTTCTCCATCCGTTTTCTCTCAATGTGTTTTGTGGGTGCTCAGCTTTGGCTGTTCAACCTGGGTTTTTTTCTGGATTGTAGTTGGTATGCTGTGTTAAGAATTGTAGATCCAAATTACCTAATCCCTGTCACATAAATAGAGTTCTCTTGAATCCATCCTGGGAATAGTATTTCTGTCAATTGTAGTGAAAGCAGATAGGTGTTTTCTGTCTCCGAAGCTAGAGCCATCAGAAAGAATACTCATGTTTGAATAGCTCAAGGTCATACTGGAATTTGTAGTAATTTGTATGAGGCTGTAATTATCTGGGCAGATACATGCAGGGAGAAATGAGTACTGTCTTTTTAATTATAAGAAAAAAGTAAGTACTGTGTAACAGCTCGTTAGTACTAAATATTGGCTTTCTCCAATAGTATTCTAAGGATTAATAAGGATACTTTCAATATTTCTGTTCAGGTAAGTTTGATGTAGCAGGAAACTTGCTGATAATTTTTATAAATGTGTTTTATGTAGTATCTTTCCCCTGATGTATGACTTTAATATTTTCAGCTGTTTTTGTCATCAAGAGCTCGAGGGTACAGCTATGTCTGCCAGACTGTGGATTATTCAGATAATGTTTATGAAGTTAGGGTGAGTATTTCTTTTTTTATATTTGTATATGAATGTGTGTTTTATACAGCACCACATGATAGTTTAAGTCTTGTCTGAAAATAGTGGTTCCACAGTTCTGTTGTCAGCCATGACTGTATCCCGTTATATTTTCACAGACTACTTCAGGTTTGACTACACTGTGCACAGGTTTAATGAAAGTGCATCAGCATATTTGCATTAACTTTCATCTGACTGCTACAAGTAAGGGGAATCTTAGATACTATCCTTGGCTTCATCCACGGTTGTACAATCCAGGATAAACTCTGTGCACATACTTTGGTTCCTAGATCTTGCTGAAGTTTATGATACCAGGGTAACCGCAGTAATGGTGGTGTTTTCTAGGTAGATCAAAGCAAGTAAGATTTGTCAGCATATCCTGTGGTTGCACTTGACCCATACTGGTGAGGCAGCTTTACCCATCTTTGGCTTCATGAGGTCTTGCTGGCTTCTGGCAAATGTATTATCAGTACATTTCATTGTAGAATCTTAGATTTCAAATACGTGAGTTTTGGAAAACATCCAAATTAAAAGTGCAGATGCGTGTTAATTTTTGTGTAATGCTGTTGGTTAGCTCATGTACTAACTCTTATCTTCCAGCAGAGCTGACACTTGAGAATCTCTCAACTGTCCTTGCAAGTTTCACTCAGGAATTAGAACATTAGGAAGTGTAACGAAAGTATGGTATAGTCTAAATACATTTAATGTTTATAGCACAGTTGAAAAAATGTTTGTCTACAAGGTAGCTGTTCATGGATAGTATTACTCAAAAGCTTGTGCATGTGGCAAGGCTGATAGTGAGACAGAAAGGTTTGAGTCTTACATGTTATGTGTAATGGCTGATATTGCAGAACAGCTCTGTGTGCAGACTTTATTGGCCTTATAGTAGTTGCCAATCTTTCACCTTTGCCAATACTGTGCTCTCACTATTTCAGTCACTAGAATACATCTGTAAATAATTGTTGAAAAACAAGATCTAGCAAAGTATACCAAGTGCTTGAAAGGTTTGAGGTTTTTTTAATAGATAAGCAAAATAGAATGCCCATGTACTCAGCTGAATGACATTGAGGACTGGTGTGATGTACATTAAAGGAATTTTTATATTAATTTGTATTAATGTACAAGAGGTACAACTTTTAGCATGCAAAAATTCTGTTCTATATCCTCACTTTTAGGTGCACTTGTTTGTGGGAGGCGGTGGGCAGGCCAGACCTGCACAAAAGAATTAACATCTGTTTTGTTTGTTATGACAAGCAGACCATTATTGTATAATGCAATAAATGCAAAATGACCTGCAGAGTGTATTTACAGCATATAATATGTCCAGAAAAGAAGGATTGCTCTAGCAATCTTTGGATTTCCTGACATTTTAATTTTTTTTTGTTATTATTATTATTTTTTACGAACTTATTTAAAATATTTAAATAAAATTTATTTCTGAAGTTTTAAGGTCCAGCATATTCAGTTTGCAAGTGAGGGAGTTGAGGAAGCAGGGAAAATTGAGTTCTCTCAAGTTTTGCAGCAACTGTATAGTACGCTATCAGTCAAGACTCTTACCTTGATAATTTTCTGGTAGTTCTGTGGAATGAATTCTCAATTTAGGTAAATAAGTTGCAAGCAGAAGATTGTTTTCCACAAGTGTACTTTGTCTAACTCAGGAGTCTGGGATACATTTCTGTTCTGCTTTACAGTGTATCATGCTCTGCATTTAGAAGATGTGTTGTTGGTTTTTGACAGTGTTGAACAGAAAAAAAACCAAACCCTCAAACCTCCTCAAGATCCTTTTCGCCATCGTTTTTCATAATATAAACCTGCAAAAGCAATTTTAAAATGTTTTTGCAGTTTTGTGTTTAGAATAGATGAACATTGTAGCACATCCCTCACATCCTTTTAGTAGCTCTAGGTACTAAATGTCTAGTATCTATTGGCATCAGGTTTTCCCTGAAGAGAAATGCTGCATTGAAGCAGTAGAATTCATTACAAATGCAATTACTTTATTTGTAAGAGAATGAGTAAATAAGTCCTGTATTGCTCAGATAAAGGAGACTGGGACTAACTCAAAGGGAAACAGCACTGAGCCCAGAAAGCATTGTGGAACGTGCTCTGGAAAGCAACAGCTTCATATATGGCTTTATTTTGGGGCTTAGAAATCTGGAACAAATATTGAGAAATGTGAAAGTAATTGCATATGATGGTCTAAATGGCAACATAGAAGCCTTGGTATGACCTCTGTTTCTGTCTTTTTGGGAATGTGCCGCTGTGATGTTGCCACGCAGTGACCCCTTTTGTTCAAAGATCTTGATCAAAATGAAGGATCTAGAAAGCATCCTTTGTCCCTCAAGGGAGTGCTCAGAGCTGGTAAACAGTTCCCAGGAAAAAAGTTTGGCTATCCTGGGTGCCAGGGAATGTCTTTCCTTTCTTCTCTAACCCACACTGTGTGTCAAGACAGTAAGTCAGTGGTGATTTTAAGGGAACAGTGTGAGGGCATGTGGTGGCACTTCTGTATAGTTTAGCAACACCAGCAATTTGTAGCTCACATATCTCTTAAGTCGGACATAGCCTCTTTGTTTTGCCAGTTTTTAAGGGGTTGTTTTTCCATTAATTTGCCTGTATGTTTTCTTCAATATTATCAAGCTTCTGGCTTTCACTGATGATGAATTATGTAGGTAGTTTACGCATAATGTGAAGGAGCTGGTCCTCCTCCTATTTACTGTTTTGAACCTACCTACACCGGTTAATCTCATTCAGGCTCTCCTGGCTGTTCTACAAGAGGCAATGGACAACTGGAGCAAGCAGGGATGAAAATTAGATTCCACAGTTGTAGAAATAAACTCCTTTGTGACGGATTTATCTTCTGGGTATAGTAGGTAGCCACCTTACTAACTGCCGGCAGGAAGTTAAATGCATTTTGTTATGAAAAAAATTAAATGTCCGTGGTAGACAAGAAAGAAAAGAGGGAACAAATCTCCAAGAAGGGATTTGGAAGGATCTACTGCTGCATCTTGGAAAAAAAATTTTGGTTATAGCTTAAGAGTCAAAATAATAAATGCAGAGAGGTGAGGTGTTAAATCCACGCTTTGTAGTACTCCCTTGGGAGCTTCAGTGTTTGAAGTGAACAATTTCCTAACACTGTCTAACTTAAGACATGTTTAGTGTCTATGAGTAGCCCTTTTCCCCCTCTGCTTACATTTGTGTGCCCTTGTTTCCCAGGTCAGGGTTCATCTATTTTATTAGCATTTCTGAAGAGCTAAGAAATGGGAATATGGGGTTGTGTGAACTGGGTCTCTAGTTTTAAGCATGCTGATTGTAAATCCTGAAGCTGAGCAATGGTTGTCTCCTGTATTGTGATTGTAATCTGCATTGTTTGTATTTATGTCTAGAGCTTGAGTGGTTTCCTCTTACGAAAAAAAGCCTAATCTTAACTTACATTCTTTTTTCACAGAAGTTAAAAGTGACTTAACAAGTCAAGTCCCGTAAACAAAATTCTGTAACTGGGAAAAGAGTTCTCTTTAAAAGCTACTTTAATTTTTCATATTACTGTGACCTTCCAAGAAGTGCCTGTCCCTTCATACCCCTTGATGGATAACTGTTTCCAACCCAAAATGAGGAAGGATGGTGCAGAAACAGAGTCCTGTGTTAAAACAGCCCTCTATTCAAAACCCTGCAGCAGGCAGAGGACATGGGATTGAACCTCTTGTTGACCCCCTTAATCCTAGGCTGTAATGTAATCTTTCTGTGCCATCTGGTGTTTTAACTGACTTAGGTTGGCACATATGAAAATTACCAGAAAAGATATGGTTTGACTAATATTATTCATTACAGGAATGTGCCTTTTTAATGCATGTTTTCTTTTCAACTAAATCTTTTTTTCATGCTGTGTTCAAAGAAAGACTACAGGTTAGGTCATGATTTCTGAAGCTTTGCAAAAGAAGTTTAGTAGTAGCCACCTGCTCCTGACATAGCTTACATATTAGTATATTGTTCTACTTTATTTCTGCCCTCAGTCACTGATTGCATGCATGGCCTCAAGCAAATGGCATGACTTCTGTTTCATTTTAAAAGCATCTGTATAAGCCATTAGAAGCACTGAAATAGATCATCAGTACACAAAATCTATCAGGTTTGAGAGTAAATGGTAGTAATATTTGATGATAGTGAGAGAGCAAAGAAGCTGACAGGCAAAAAAATCTACAGGAACACAAAATCAGCAGGTATCATCCTGCAAAGAAATAGTCTGTTCTTTTTTGTTATTGTTCTTAAGTAATAGGAAATATTTTGATCAAAAGTTCGAATTATTTTTATCCAGGGGCTGTAATTGCTTTCTGTGCTAGACAGGTGGAATTCAAAAGAAGAGGAATGAGATGTGTTAAGTGACTTGTCCAGGAGCATATACTGATCCTGTGGCATCTTGGGCATAAAACATAAGTATTTTGTCAGGATTTTTCTCCACCTATATTTTACTCTATGTCATACAGTAAATTGGGGTTTTGCTTATTGGCTGTTTGATTTATTGTTCCCCCATTTCATTAATAAAAATATACATTTGCTTTATAAAAGATTTTTGGCAGTTTGCGTGTAACTGGCATATTGATTCTATAAAAGTTTCTCGGAAGGGAGGACCTCCAAAGAGCTAAAGTATTGCAGTGCTGGATTTGTCATTTTATGGATATAGTCCAAAGTGTTTGTTGTTAACTTATGAGATGAAAAGATGCTTGTCTTAATTTATTTAAGAGATGCAGCTTTAGCAAAGATCTATAAAAGATGCTGGACTGTTATGCTAATCCATGGGTGTGAGACAAACCTTGATGTGGGTGTTATTAACCACCTGACTACCTGTCCCAGAGGCAGTACTGTACTAGATATTGAGCAATATATATGTATATGCATATGGTTCTTGCAGCTTGCTTGTGTGAGAACTCTGAGATCTGTGAGAGTCACTTTTCTCTTGCTGAGCCTCTCTCCAACTTTGACAGATATTAGTATCTTTTTGGTATAAAACTGGTAAAATCTGCCTCCTCTTCCTGAGATCTGAAGTAAGCTAAATTAAATCCAGTGAGTGAGAAAGGTGTTCATTAAACAATACATTGAAGTCTGCAGTTTGGCAACAGTAAGATGTGCAGTCCCTTTGGGAAACTGCAGTCTGCAATGCAGATCTGCAGCACTCTTCTCCTGTGCTGCTTTTTTGCTGCTGCTGTAATTTCTCCTAAACTGGTCACCAGTCCAATTATGACTGTGAAAAACTTACTCTGAGGAGAGATGTGTTCCTTTCCCACTAGTTTGGAGAGGTGGAGGAAAACATCATGCACGGCTTGTAGCATTGTACAGCTCATTCCTCTGATCCCGCTTTCTCTCGCTCCCCTAAACACTATGTGTGTAGTTGGGAAGGAAAGCTACTCTGTGTTAACCTTTTTTTTCTTCTGTCTTCCCTGGGGACTGAGGAGGTGGTGGGGTTATTTCACACCAGGTTAAGGTAAGAAAGTCTGATTTGTCATCAGCTGAGTCCTGAAAGACGAGGCAAACTTCTTACAAATAGGTGTGTTGTGACATTGCCTCTCTCCTCTTGCAGGTCGTACCAATTCCAATTCTTTTTTTTTTTTTTCCCATTCTCTATGTGAGTCACCATCTGGGATATGTTCTGGTCCCACCCTTGCATAACAAGCTAGATGACTTACAATGCCAGGAACTAGACTTGTTGCTATGCTTTGGGATCTGGAAGGGAGTCCCTACCACCACCATACTCCCATATCATAGTATGAACAAATTGCTACACAGAGCTTCTGGGCTTCTGGTTTAACAATATCCTGATTTCAGCTGGAAGCCATGTTTATGTTGCATCCTGGGCAAAATTCACTGTGATGGGTGAATTAGAAAAAGAATTTTGGGTGTGTAACACTGCCCTGTTGGGTAAATGGTTATATCTGTGCAGTTTTTATGGCTCCTCTAGTCTCGTTTCTTCTATTCCCTGAATGGCACAGAGCCACTGGGGGAATGCTGCTTTACAGAGGGAGTTAGTGAGCAGGCCAGAAAAAGCTGAGGGAACATTGCTCTAAGGGATGTGAACTCTGTACTACACCTAACTTGTAAGAGTGATTTGGTATCTTTCCACCCATATGCCTGTGGTACTGAAGGTTTCAGTCTTTGCTACTTCATTTTATTGTAATGTTTCTGCCTTATTGTTCTGACCACATCAAAGTGTTGCCTCACTAGTAGGGGAAGCCCTGTGGAAGTCTTCTTTCACAAAGCTTAGGAGAGAGAATGAGGACACAAACTCCCTGTTTAACTGGTAACCTGTTCAGAGATGGCAAAGTTTTTAACTATATTAGCTCTTTTTTTACAGTTGTAATTTGTGAGCAACAGTTTCAGAATAATCTGCTTCCATGTCCAGAATAGATGAAAGAAGTATTGTTTTTGTTGTTATTCTCATACTGTCAGATGCTTGATGACTCCACCTCAACATTTACCAGGATACAGGGAAAGAAGAAGTATCCTTCTCTTGCAGCACATAGGTGGAGAGAACTTTATTCCATTCAGCTTGCAATCACTAAACTTTTGTATTGTCTGTTTTTCATTGCAGATAGCTGCTGCTTTATGGTGGTATTACGTCTCTAAAGGAATCGAATATTTGGATACAGTATTCTTTATTCTGAGGAAGAAATTTAACCAGATTAGTTTTCTTCATGTCTATCACCATTTCACCATGTTCACCTTGTGGTGGATTGGTATTAAGTGGGTTGCAGGTGGACAAGGTGAGTTCCCTTCCTCCCATACCCTTTTGACGGGGCAGAAGGGAGAATTATTATTGTTTTGGAGCAATGGAAAAAAGTTTTGTAGAACTTGACTTTATAATTTACAAGACTGTTTATTAACACGTGCAGTCTGTGGGAAGCATGGGGGAGGAAAAGATAACAGGGCAATAATCTAATGAATTGCAAAACTTCTTTTCCTCATGGGCATCAATTGCAAGCCTGAAGTTCTGCCTTAAAAAGTATCCTTATTCTCTATAAATCAGAAAGATGTATATGTCTTGCCTAACTTCAATTTTTGCAGATACAGAGAACTGCAAAATCTAATTATGGGCTACAATCTGTGTGCAAATTTAATGAAATTAATGGAGATGTCATTTTGGCATTGTATCTGAGTTTGAGGTTTGCTTTCTTTTTTATAAAGAGGCTTGTATAAAATTCTGAAACCTTCCCTTGGAGGTGAGCCAATAAATCTGTTAATACACTTTTAAAACCTATTCATAATGGCACAAGTCTGTAATTCATTATCAGCCTTTTTATCCCATTGCTTCTTTTTTAAAGCCTCCATCAAATAATTTTATTATTATTTATTGTACTTGTCACATTCTCCCTTGCCTGTATTTGTACCCTTGTTCCTGGTGTTTTGCCATTGTCCCTCTGAAATTACAACTCTGCGAAGCTGAGGATAAAGGAAAAGTACCATGTTTTGTTTGTAATGTGCTTTGTAGGCTTATGACACTAAAATTAGCATATAGTAAACACAAAATGCCGTATTATAAACACCAAGTTAATATTTTAGGTTTGGCATTTTTGTTGTTTTTTTTTCTGAACCACACTAATACTTAATGCATGGGAGGTTTATGTTCCCATTTACTGTAGATATTTTGTACTGAGTGGTCACTTATATTCAAAAGAAGAAATATATAAAATTAATACCTGTGACTATCTTTTAATTTCTCTTAAGTAATCTGCAGAAAGCAGGTACTCAGCCAGACAGTTCATGATCTTTATTGGCAACTGCATCTCTAAAATAAGTTTACTGGAGACTGGATGGTTACTTGTGGTCTTGCTTAGAAGTTCTCTGGGTGTCTCAAAAGGCCCTCTCCCTTGTTGCCTTTTCAGAGTTTTCATGCTAAATATCAACAGTTTTCAATACAACCGTTGCGACTATTTCCAAATTTCTTTCAAGTTTTGGTGTTCTTGCACTGCTTCTTAGTTTCTAGGTCCTGCAAAAGGAAAAGCAGAGGTTGCTTTTCTGCCTTTATGCAGCACTACTGCATAAATGTGGATAGATGTGTTCTTCTGTTTTCTAGTTGATAGCACGTTGCTTACATAGACAGGTCTATTGTAAACTAGACCCTATTATAGCTAACTGGGTCTAGACCACATGGACATCTGAGCTGCTTGATGTCAGCAGCTACTGTCTGTGTTGACCTAATCTTAGACATTAGAGCCTTTTTGAGCCTCTCTGTCAGTGTAAGAATACCTTAACAAGATGCAATGTGTGTCTGTTAAATGACTGCTAATCTTGACAAAGCAAAGAGATCTTAATATAAATGAAACTGTCATCACTTCCAACATGGAACGTTCTTGATAATGCTATACTATACACTTATATATTTAAGAATGCTGGATATTTTAATGATAAATAAAGAAACTAAAGATGAATAATTTAGGAAAACTCACCTGGCAATGCCCTTGAAGTTCTTATAACCATAAGTCAGGTTTTACTCTGGTTGATTTTTTTGGCCTATTTAATCAGACTTTCATGTGAGTTTCTTGATTTCTTGCTGAGAAGTGAACCTCATGCATTTAAATTCAGAATATGATACTTTACATTGTCAAATACAGCTTTTAATAATCTCTTAGCAAAACAGTTGCAGTTATACTACAACAACTGATGTGGAATCCATGTCATTTATGTCTGTTAAACGAAAATCTTATGAAAAGCTTTTGCCTAAATAGTTCCATGAAAGGTGTGACATACTACTTGCATGAACAGGTATTTGTGTCAGCATATGTTAACAGTCAGGTCTGTACTATACTATTGAATATTTTGAAGATGGAATCCTGACGTGTCCTGTGCTTTGTAATTTTTACTGTAACATAAATAATAGTAGAAAAGACTTCTCTCTTTCTTCCAAAATTACACGACGATATTCCCTTCTGTTCCATGACAGCTTTTTTCGGAGCTCAAATGAATGCATTTATTCATGTCATTATGTACATGTATTATGGATTAGCAGCTTGCGGCCCTAAATTTCAGAAGTACCTGTGGTGGAAACGATACTTGACCATATTGCAATTGGTAAGTAAAATTTCTCCCTTTATCTCAAAAGGTATTGCCTCTGAGTGGATTTGCATTTGCAGAGCTTTGGAACACATACTGTTCCTTCCGGAAGCTCTTCTCTGTGTGCCACTGACAGCTCAACTTAGAATACTTCCCAGAGATGGAAGCATTTATTCAATTTCTAAAAAAATATGCAGCATAGATAAGAGTTGTCTGAGTTAAAGTCTTTCCTTGCTGGTTGTTTCAACTGAATTGCAAAAACATGTTGAAAAGGTAGAGAAAATCCAGATCTTCTATAATCTTCTCATTTTCCTGTTTCTGAAAACTATGACAGATACTGCAATAAATTGGATGTTCCCGGTCAAGCACAGGTGTGCATGCATGAATGTGACAGCTGAATACAGCTCCCTGCCACCTCCCAGTTTACCAGTTTTCGTAACTTAATGCATAGGTATAAATTGTTGCAGTCAGACCTACAGAATATATCCAGACCTTTTTGATTCTATATTTTCTGTCTTACAGGTGCAGTTCCATGTGACTATTGGCCACACAGCCTTGTCTATTTATATTGATTGTCCTTTCCCTAAATGGATGCACTGGGGTGTCATTTTCTATGCTGTCACCTTCATTTTCCTGTTTGGTAACTTCTACTATCGGACATATAAACTGCCCAAGGAACCTGTAAAGAATGGAAAAATAGCAAATGGTGCTGTTGCAAATGGAGTAAGCAAACCAGAAAATAATGCAGTGGTGGAAAATGGAAAAAAGCAGAAAAAGGGAAAAGCAAAAGGAGAGTAACTTGATCCAGGCCTTAACCATTGTTGGCAGTGAGGAACCTCCGGTTTGGTTTATAAAAGGAAGAAAAAAACACTATCTGTACCAATTAACCTTAGGTTACTGAAGAGCTAGAACACAGATATTTTCATTATTTATGAAGATTGTTTTAAGAACAACACTAAAGTTGAATTTCTATTGTAATTATGTAATTATCATGCATATGGTCTCTGTGTAAACTTGTAGACTGCTGGTGTTGGTGAATGTAAGGAAGAATTGCAGTTGATTCCATGTTTAGCAGTCCAAAAGTTAATACTACCATTGGTAAAGGCAGTTTTGTTGGCACCCACATTTCTTTGGGGGGGAGGGGAAGGAAGTAGTGTTTGGATACTTGTGTTTTCCTTCCAGAAAATTATTAAATTTCAAATTATGATATATTATCTAATCAGAATGTGCAACTTTTCTTGTCCTCCTTGGAGGGTATCTTCAGACACATTATGTGCTGTCAGAACAGTGTTTGAATTTTCAGACATTACTTGATTTAATTGAGTATCTGTTACAGTTTGGTTTTTGTTTTATTTTTTTTGTGTGTGGAAATATACCTACCTCTTCATCTGCTGAAAAGAATATTGAGCATTAAATAACTGGTTTCTGAAATATGGAGTCTTCTAATCTAAATATCTGTTAACACTAATTTAGAAGGAAATATGATTTCCTGTGAGAGTAAAAGGGATTTTTTGTGGTATTTTTTGATCAAGTCATCAATGACCTTTTTTAATGTAAACTGAAATTTTGGAACAGTACTTTTAGTATAGCTAAATCAAGGAAACATTTTAAGAATGTATCAACATGAACGAATATATTGTTTGAAGCAATCAGTAAAAGTAGGCTTGCTGCTTGTTTTCCATGACCTGCATTAAACCTGTGGTGCTGACTGATACTGAAAATGGTAAGATAATGTTACGTTGGAAAGAAAACAACAACATGTAATTCCATTTAGAAATGCTGTGTGCATGGGCAGTCATGCTATCTACAAGACCATCACTGTATTGGGAGAGGAATTTGGATTAAAAGTACTAAATACAGCAAACATAAAACGTTGAAAATGCTGTTACTGCTGGATACCTGTCAAAACTCGATTTGTTAGACTCTTGCAAAGTATTGCTGGTAGACGGGCCACCATTTTTAGTCAAAACTGCTAAAATAAGGAGAAGCCTTTTAGATGGATGTTCATTTGCATGTTATATAAAGGACTTTTTACTGTTACTTTTGGGAAGAAAATAGAGAAAGAGTTATTCGCCTTTTGAATACTGTGATTACCAAGAGATGTTTTGAGCTACTAAGCATGCAGTGAGTATAGGACAGGGATGGAATTAGAAACCATGTCCTGGACTCCTGTGTTCCTTGCTCATCACTTTAAGAGCTGCGTTGTTGCTGTCCAAAAGCATTCCCCCCAGCCCTGGTCAAAAACATGTTCACAGGTTGCAATAACCTTGCATCTGTCAAGTGGCACCATTATTGCAGGAAAAAGTACATGGAGCTGGAGGTGTAAAGTGTGTGACACATTTAATAGATTTTTGCATCTCAATTATCCATTCATCTGTTTATAGTACACAAGCAGGTCACATCTTCTATGTCTCAGGTTTGTCTCTTTTCTCTGTACAAAAAAAATAATCTAAGCCCAAAAACCAGGTCCTAGGAAAAAAATTTTGGATATAGTCTGTTGTATTCCAAACTAGTTTGTAATGCTGGAGTTGGTTCAGCTGAAAGGTGGTTCATCCATAATTGCCACCACTGTGGCAGAATACAGAATTGTGAAAGAATGTCTCTGCTGAACTGTAATGTATGTGACCATTAAGTTTCTATCTGTTGTGTCTTGTGATTCTTCCAGCCTTTGTGCTGATGCTTTTTGCATTTGCATAACTCTATGTATTTTTGTAGTGTAGCATGAGGAAGAGGGACAGCAGTCTGTGCTTCCTTCTTGGACAGATGCCTCTACTCTTAACCAAGCCAAAATGCTGGCTGACTCAGTAACTTTGGAGTGGCTAAAGGAGTAAATAACTACAAAGCAAATTTACAGCAGACCTGCTACTCCAAGGTAATGGGTGGTGTGAATACACCTACCCTACTGTAAATTCAAGGTAGTTTACCTCACTTTGATTAAAGGGTAGCTTCTTTTTATTTACCATGGGATGTGAGCAGCTAACTTTCAAATCTGTATCATTCCTTGAATTATGTTAAATCGGTTACATGCTCTGTCGTTCTTTGGATAAGCCAGATCAGATAAACTGATACTCTTAGTGTGATCTAGCTCTGTAAGAGCATACTGAGGAGCATTTCAGTACAGGTTCAATTATGTCTTTGCTACACTTTCTAAATTAAGGATTATATCTTGCATAATGGCAGATATTTAAATAACTGAAAGTTAAATCTTTCCTTCCCTCATCATGCATGGAAGTGGCTTAAATTGGTTAAAACTTGAACCTTATTAGCAGAACTTGAGTAGGAACTTACTGTCAAACTCTGGGGCAATTGTTAACTTCTAAGAAAAAGTGAAAAAGCACATTGTGAGAGTGCATGGGTACATACACATCATGTTGTCTGGCCCGGTGCATAAAACCAGTTTGAGAGATCACCATTTCATGGGGGAAAAAAAGTTAATTGCTGGAACACTGCTGTTTTGAGTACATCTTCTGCAATATGACTTTCCTAGCTCTATTAATGATATATTTGATTGTTTGTGTAACTAAAGTCCCGTTACAATCTTGAATATAATGGCCTTATTAAATGTGCATTTTTGTAGGCATGGTCTTGAGTGCAATATTTCTGTTTCTGACTGTGCAACCAGACTCACAGGATACAGGGCTGAACTTTTACAGCTTTCTCTTTTTCAAAATTTGAGGCAATGATGCACATGTGAGATATTGACAGATTCATTAAAGTCATCTTTGCGTCTAAGGCACCTCAAAATTTTGCCATGAAGGTAATAGAATATATGTATAAATATGTGTATTTGCTATCCACAGAACTGAAATTTAAATTATACAGTCTACTTTGCATGTTTGTTGTTTTGGGTTTTTTTTTAAAATCCTTCAAATTTATTTAAAAATTAAATTCAAACCATTTGGAACTTTTCTTTTTTTTGCCAATGAATGAGATTTTTTTTTTTTTTTTTTTTTTTTTTTGCTAGGAGTTCTGAAGCTCTTGGACCAGAGTATCATAATTATTTGATGCCATATAATACAATTTCATTTAGCCTCATCTCTAGCAGTGGCAGTTGTTGGATTGTTTTAGCACTTTGTCAGTGTAAAATAAATACAAATTATTGATACATGTCTGTATGTATGTGTACACATACATAGTGTATGTGTGTGTGTGTGTGTGTGTGTGTATATATGTATGGGTTCTTAGCAGATTCTTTCAATATGTGAAGGAAATTATGTTTCTTTAATGTGAAGTTGGCAGGAGCTAAAAGAATGGTTCCTACAGCTTGAGCAGTAAAATTAAGCAGTTTTCTTCCATCCATAGATCCCATATCAATCTTGCAAACATAAATAGTATTTTTCAGTCATTTAGACATAGGATGGCAGACATGACAGAACCATTTCACCCAGTGTAATAAATATTTTGAGGCATCAGTTGTAGATTCTGAGGGGAGGGACCTCAATTCAGTGTAGCTGAGGAAATATGCTGTTTTATAGTAGGAATCATTTTAGGAAACAGTATGAGTAACTTGCTGCAGCTAAGTCTTTGAAATGATTGCAATCATATTCTCTGTTTAACAAAACACTTTGAAAAGTAAATCATAGTCATAGAACCATTTAGGTTGGAAAAGGCCGTAAAGAAGATCGAGTCCAACTGTTGAATAAATGTTTCTCTGTAGATTCAAAAGCATGGCCTATTTGAATATGTGACCATCAATTACTTCCAGCTCCAGATCAGGAGAAAAAGGTGAAGGTAAAATGAAAATGATGCGTATTTTTTTCAGGTTAACCTTAGGGCACATTTCTTCAGAGTAAGCACCTGAACTCCACATGCTGGGGAGAGAAGGTAAGAAAGGATAAATAGCTTTTGTGCTGCAAGGTCTCGGTCCTAAAATAGCTTATGAACATACTTGCTGTCTCTTAAAAACTCAAGTAAAATTGTTAATGGTGCATAAAGTTAAACCTTGCATGCGGGCTGAGAGTCATAATGTTGAAACAGATATTTAAGATGAGATCTGTTTCAGTTAAAATTAAAGATAATGGGGAGCTTATAAAGTATATGGATAGTGTATTTGTCTTGGTTAGAAGCACGGACTTATCCAATCTGACACCTAAAGCAAGACACCCGTGTGACATCTCACTGCATTGTGCTCTGATGCGTTGGCCTCTTTGCTGACATAAGCAGCTGGAGCTCTGTGGGAATCAGTGGGGTGGTTCCCATTTACCTCAGCAGGGTACGTTGAACCCTCAAGAGTGGAGAAAGTACTTGCTTTCTGCCAATATCCTGGGAGGATAAGGGAAATGTATGGCTCAGGGTATTGCTTTTGCATAAGGTGTTCATGCTTTTGTAAACATTAAAAATAAACGTTACTTTTTTCATGCTGTTTGAGTTTGGTTTTATACATTCCGTAGTGTGTTCTTCCGCGTCCCATCTTGCTTTGAGATGCTTGCTAATTTCAGTGTTGTGCAGATCGTATGAGGTAAGATGTTTTGTAGCCCAGAAGTTTGAGAAAAATATTTTTGTGGCACACCCTCCCATTTTAACGTTATGGGGATTACCAAACTTTGAATTTTCCCCCCAAAGAGTAGTGTAGTGGCTTTGAAATCACCCTTAGAGAACTGGTTGAAAATAGGATGTCCACTTATACAAAGAAAACCAAAAAGTTTCCTTTTTTGGTCTTGAAAGTACTAGCAGTTAGGAATACAATTAGCGTGTAGTTAAGCTCTTGTGGGACACTGTGTTGTGTTAATGTGATTTCTCATCCCAGAGAATCTGGAGCACTTTTGGCAGTAGGTACAATTTGTGATTACATGTTGCTGTGTACAGTAAGTTCCTTCAGAGTTAGTTTGCCAATTATGATCTCTGTAATCAACCTCATAATATTTAGTTGCACCCATATTGCAGTCCTTGCACCTAAATGCAAATAGCTACTCCGGATGTCAGGTAGTAGAGAATCAAGTCTACCATCACAGCAAAATATGGTGTGATCAATTATCTCTTGCATAATTCTCAGCTGTTGCTTCAATCCACTGCTTACATCCTCTCTGGAATCTGAAAATACACTACGTGTTCAGAGCAGGATTTGTCTTTTAGATGATTACTATGTGCTGGAGTTAGGCTCTCTGTCCAGGTGTCTTTTCCATAATACTTATTCCACACTAGGAATTAAAAATCAGAACACATGATCAAGTTAGATTCATCAGATGATTGGATGGAATAGACTGGATCCTCTGTTTTTCATGTTCAATTTTCTTTGTTGTATCACTTGCTTCTTGAAGACCAGAAAATTGGGGTTGGGGAAAGGGCTTTGTTACCTGTTTCCTTGCTCAGCTCAAAGCACTGGGTGAACGCAGGCTGTAGTCTCAGACGCACACGAAGCATGTACTCAAGGACGGCTTTGATGGCAGTACCTTCTATGGACTAGTGCCTTTCAGCGTCTTTTTTTGCTTGAGACTTCTCCTAGGGAACTTCCTGAATGCACACACACTTTTCTGTTGATTGCCTGATGTGTCAGTGACATCACATTTGACTTAATTACAAAGATGCTTATTGATGGGCAAGATTAAGGGTCTTGATCATCCCCATGTCAGTTGTCCAGACCCTGATTAGTGTACACTGGTCTATAGTATTAGAATAGTGCTGGCAGTTCCTGCCAGAGCACTGTGCAAGTCAGTGCAGCTTTGAGGGGGAAAAAGCTATTTGCATTTTGACTCTGTATGTGGGAATTGACACGAGCTCATGGCATCATCACTGTCCGTCAAATCAGTATCAGGTAGGTTTCAGTCTGCTAAATGAGAAGAAATCTTTGATTCATGGAATGATTCAAAGATAAGTGTTGTTTGTCCTTATCTTTAAATGGAGAACTGTTATTTTTGCAGTGGTATCACCTTAATTTGTTTCA